AGATATTTAAAGAGCTTTTCCATTACTCTTGTTTTCAAGGTCAAATGAGTATCGTATTTGATGTATTCATTGAAATCCTCGATTTTTGCATGAAACTTCTTTTTTTCAACTAATATAATGAAATTGCATGAAAATTCTTTTTTTCAAATGCTTTGTTTTCGAGACACTTCATCTATCCGTGACTTTTCTGTCACTATATATTGAAGTTTGTCATCTAAACAGGTTAAATCGATTGCTATATATTCTTCTTAAAAGCACGAAATTATTTTATATAAATTTAATATTTAGATAGCTTAGATGATGTACATGAGTATGAAATTTTGACTAAAAATACAGCAATCCGTTGAAACGCACTTAATGGTATTACATAATTACATAATAAGGAAGCGTGTTTCGAAAGATCTGTCGACTTACCTGAATGAAACGGCTGCATTCCTCTTCGAGATAAGTCATTTTTCCAGATGTTAATACGTATGTACAACAAAAGTTAAACCACTTTAATGGATTAAAATTTTTCACTTTAACAAAATCCGTGTGTATATTTTTTAACAGTTTATCACCGATTTCACATACTTTTAACAAAATCTATTAAATGAGAATACGCTATATTTATCGATAAAGAATACGCTACAGTGATATAATTACCATATCAGTAACAGATTGTTTTCTTCGAAAATAAAATTTTGTTCACATTACAGCGGCACGTAAAAACTGAATGTACTTCGCGATCAACCGTTATCGCTATCTATCAAAGTTACCGATATAGATGACAATATTTATTGGCCGCAAAGTTATTTGGATTGCCTTGTGATTTCTCTGATGAAAGTGCGCACCAAAACTGACTTGTTTAACCACTTGACGTTGCTATATGAGCGCCGCAAGTGAGACTCACGTTTATTAGATTTGGAATGTATTTAACTCTTTACGAGAGATATTCGTGTTTGCTAGATCTGAATAATGTAATTTATCCGTTATACGTTATTGTTTAATTGTGACATTTGTATTGAATAAATTTATGATTTTTTTTTTTAAATTCAAATGTTTACTTTTACATTGCATAATTTACCAATTGACTTATTTATTTCAAATTTAGATGCGTGACAGAGTATCAATAAAGTTCAATAGAATCTCTTGGTAAAGCTTAATACAACTATTTTATTTATTCTATATTCGAATAATAACAATATATGACTAGTGGAATAAAATTGCGGTCTTAAAAGTTTAAAAATGAACAAATAAAGAATTAAACGAAGCAAAATATGAAAATTATCTTCTGATAAATAACACATTCTAACAATGCAAACACATTGTCATTATAATGTTCCACAGATATATATTTAAAAAAGATAAGAAAGTATCTCATCACTTTATTCGAAATTTTGACAAATTATTTCTTTTTATTTGACAATTATTAGTCCTTTTATATTATACAACTGTCATTTTTACATTTAAAAAATATATAGATACAAAAATAATCTATAAAACTAATTAGTCCTTTTATATTATACAACTGTCATTTTTATATTTAAAAAATATATAGATACAAAAATAATCTATAAAACTAATTAAAAGTCTCTCAATCTTAAAATACAATAAATATAGCATTAAAAACAGGTTAATGGGAGTTAGCACAGATATATAAATGCAAAATTTTTTGATCAAAAATAATTATTTAGAGATTGTATATAATGTCCTCTTTATTTTAGTTCATCGCGAGCACAAGTCACAGATTAACAAAATTGAAGCGATGTTGAAAATTATAATTTACATTACATTTATACTACGGATTTTCAATACTAAAAGTGAATCTTGAAATACATTCTTAATAATGACATTAATATTTAAAAATAGTATTTGATTTAAATTCGTTGTATAATGTTCACAAATATAAATAAAAAATTATAATTGTTGAGTTTAGCTCCCGGCGATTGTTTCTGCCAGATTCGGTCGTCTTTTGTGCAAAAACACGTCAAAGAGCCTAATTTTATCATGAGGAAGCTATAAACTCAACAATTTCTCGAAAAGTAATGAAAAAGTAACGATTTGTTACTTTTTTAAATAATAGTAATGATAACGCGATTATCTCTTAAGATAAATAACTACTAACGGTAACGAGTTATTTTTAACAAAAAGTAACTGTAATGATAACGCATTATTTTTTTTAAAGTAATATTTCATACTAGAATATCAGAACATCACAACCATAAACAGAAATACTAACAACAACTCTGTTATCACGATCCACAGAATTAATTATAATCATGATTTTGATTGATAGAGAGAATTTTCAATATTTGATATTAAAAGAGATTTCTAAATAAGCGTATGATTTCTACAGTTGCCCATATAATCATAGAAGAATGATTTTAATTTACGATCGGATACTGACAGACAGCATCATATGCATGCATCATTACCAAACAAGTTTTAATCACTGATTGTAATATAAGACGATATTTATACATCTTTTGACCTTCTTATATTTTATGTTATTAATGCTTAAATTTGAGCATCAATTGTTGACCTTGGTTCTCTTTAAATTAACGTTCAACTTTTGTCGACACGTCATGCTGTATGGACGGGTTATGACGACAATTACACGACGCGATGATTTATTAGTCGAAAGTGCGATAAAGTTTAGGAAAAATTCACGCATGCGTCTCTCGATAGGTACATACACCGTACATGCGCGCACAATATTGTTTATATACATTGCATTTCGGCGAAACAATAAAGGCATTTAAACAACTTAATTGTTTCTTTTAATTTACGTCAAATAGTTTTCCTGCAAACTGCTAATTCATCTTAAATAAAATGTATGTTAAAATAAATCTACAGTTGTAAATTTATATTATAACTATTGCCTTCCGCAGTTAAAACGGTTTTATTAGAATTATAATAATGTAAATATCTAATAATAAACAGCAACGACCCACAAAAAAATATTTTATTTAGTAAGAATAATAAAATTCTCGAACTGACAAGGGGACGCTCAAGCTAGTATACCACGGATTTGTTTGAAAAAAATTGAGGTGATACTTTGAGACAAAAAAATTTACACGTGTTTCGGCATTTTACTCCATAGAGCCCCGATTGGTCAAAAAAAATTAAAAACCAAACAAATTTCTGCGCTAGTGATTGAAGTACCTTATCTCGTAAACGTAAAGCACATCACTGTATGTCTCGGTTGGTAGCTTAAACTATTTATATCTATTAAAACCTTTTTTTAACTATTAAGAAAACATTAATTATTAAATGTCTTTATTATGATATTACTATAAAAAATAATATATTTTAAACTATTTATATCTATTAAAACCTTATTACTTTTTTGTCTACAAAATTCTCAACCTTCCGAAAAAAAATAACATGTTTCAATTTTTTCTAGTCGAAAACGCGTTTTTTTATATTAAAAAATGACTCGTATTTTGGATATATATTGAAATTAATTTATATATTAAAAATAAGATAGGCCCAAGCTTATTATCGCACCTTATGTTTTCGAAAAGTTGAGAATTTTTTTAGAAAAAAGTGTATAGATCACTTTTTTATACGAGTAATAGTTTTGTAAGTAAAAATGAATTGAAAAATTTCAAGCAAAACTGGCAATCACTAGCGCAGAAATTTGTTTGGTTTTTAATTTTTTTTGACCAATCGGGGCTCTATGGAGTAAAATGCCGAAACACGTGTAAATTTTTTTGTCTCAAAGTATCACCTCAATTTTTTTCAAACAAATCCGTGATATACTAGCTTGAGCGTCCCCTTGTGAGTAATAAATGAGCGAACGATCTCACGAGTTAAAGAACCGATGATGATCCGACCATAAGACTCTGAAAAGACAAGTCATGTACAGTGTTAAGTAGAAAATAATTTACTAACGATCGCGAGTCTACAATTTCATTTTATAATCATCGACTATAATCTTTTGCGGCATATATATACTGTAAACTCCAAAATAAACATTATTATTAATATGTCTATTTAAATGCGACAAATAAAAAACTCGGAACCATATTAATTAACAAAAAAGATGTGCTACAAAATTGCTTTCCGCAGTTTAAACGATTTTATTCAATTTATAAAATGTAAATCTAAAAAAAAAATAATAAATTTAATATTACTGAGGAGGGAGAATTTCAAAAAGAGTTGAAACTCTTCTTTAAATCTCTTTAAATATAATAAAGAAGACATCATATAATCATCTGAGTAATTATTTTCGATGAAAAAAATGTTGTGCTCACATATTTGCGCTGATTCTCATTAGGTGTTTTTAATGTTACATTTATTGTATTTAAAGAAGATACACACTCTCTCTCTCTCTCTCTCTCTCTCTCTCTTAAAATAAGTGCAAAGTATCTTACATATTTTATTATATACTGAGAGATGTGCATATTATTATTTAGTACGTCAAATTTTTGCGTCATCAACGCAATATTAAATAGTATAAACAACAAAAAATTTCGAGTATGATGAGCTCTTTGAGTCATCGCATAATTACGTCTGTAATTATGGCATTGGTCATCCATGAACGAGTTTATATTTTACAATAATCTATGTGACGTAGTTAGCTATTATTGTAAGTTTTTACTTCACTTTTCTTGATAACGTTAGTTGGAAACGTTAAATAACTGTGCATATGTAAAATATCCATAAAAAAAGTGGATTAGTTCAAGCATTATTTTCAACGATACAATAAGTCTGATTGAAAACTTCGCGATTATTGTCATCCATTTTTAATCAAAAGTTCGATAAAACATTATTTAACAAAATATCATATTTTATAAAAATTTGTTTTTAAGTGTACACGTTGTAATTAAAAACATTTTTTTATTTCAGAAAATACACAATTAATTGAACATGTGAAAGTGTCAGTTGAAACTAGTTATGATGTAATCTTGTAGATTATTATAGTGCAATTAGAGGAAATAAATATAATATAGAAATTCTTTGTGCTTTCTACAAAATTTTTACGAGACATCGATAATATGGTAAATATAAAAATGTATCTACAATCGAATATACGAAGAGAAGTGCTTTTTTTGGTACGTAATTTATTTAAACATGTTTAATGAAAATAATAAGTATTTAAACATATTTAATACAAACAAAAAGATCATGACTTTTTTTCATTTTAATGTGACTTAAAATAAAATCTCTATGAAATAATTTTTAATTAAAATGCTATAAATTTAAACTCCTAAAATTTTAAATAAAAAAAAGTATTGTTCGCAATTTTAACATATTATAATAAAAATAAAGATCATAATGATATTATATTTAATATCTAATTTCTGTGCATATATAATTTGCCGCAGCTTCTTTACATCATTATTTGCAACTTGACTCAAATTAATACAGGAGCCGCTATGGGATACTCCTCTATAGTACTTCCGGTATTGACAAGTAATATGTCATCGATAACTTTAAATGAAATGGAAGTACCATTGTTTGGTAATAGTTTTAACACAATTCTAGTATTATTTATTCATTACAAAATATATTCCTATATTAACATTTATAACTGTTATTATTTATTGTTAGTCTTATTAGTCTTATTAGTCTCTGCCATAATTAATATTTATGACTTTTAAGAGAATTGCTAATAAACCAAGAATTCAATAATCTTTGTACATGCTTTTATTGTTATATTGCATAAATTTATATATAAACACAAAATAGAAAAAAATAATAAAGTAGAATTATATGTATAATTTAAAAAATTGATGAAATATTTTTATAAAATAAAAAATATTTGTAAAATGCACTGATTTGCACGTAACAATAAAACAATTTTTGTCTAGTTTCTATTATATCAATCACCCAAATCATCGGTAGCCTTTTATGCCTTATTACTATGAGCTATGGAAGAAAATGTACCATGATAGTATGCGGTATAAACTTTTCTTTAGGATGGATTCTGATTGCGAGTAGTTATAACGTAATACAACTCTTTATTGGTAGAGCACTAACAGGTAAGAAATTCGTTGAATTGAGATTATTTACATGTATGTATATATAGTATAATATATATACATATATATACCCACATATATAATTTATATGTGTATATAAATTATTCTTAGTCCGTGATCCATTATTCGTGTTTTTTTCTTATCAATTACGATGTGTAGGATGTTTGAGTGGTACAATACAGTTAAAATTTATCAAAATGATGATAAATAAACTAGAGCTCTAGAGCTCTAAAATAAACGACAAAAAATTTTATAAATGTGCCCTGAAAACAATGAATAATTTAGTTTTTAATAGCTTATATAACACAATGACCATATTTTGCTGCAATTCTAAATAACTGTTGAACAAAGTAAGTGGATTTATAAATTTTGCATTTATTAGAATTGTATTAGTATATGTAAAAAAATTGTGTTTTAATTTTTTAAGTCAATCTTTTATCGTAAATAAAAGATTAAAAACATTTTGGAACATACGTACTGGAAGTGTCATGATTAATTGGCGCTATCTCCACAAATATATATATTTATTCTTGTTTGTTTTACACTGTAATGCGATTATAATCTACAGTTTTTTAAACTGTCTTTGAAATTCTAATAGTATAAAGATATGAATTGTGTAAAGTTAAACAATTACATAATTAACGCAAGCGCATAGAATAGAAACTGGATCGCCTCGAAAGAATCAGAATTTTTCTACCGCGGAATCCATTTGTTACCCGAGAAATGGGAAATGGTTATAGCTTTCGATGGACAATATTGTGAATAAAATATCAGGTATCTTTTTAATAAAATATTAAATATTTATTAACTTACTTCTTGACTCTTTTGAGTTATGTTCTCTCTCTGCCTATATAGGTACTTTCTTTATATATTGCGTATATTAAACTTAACATTTCAATTTTCTCGCGTCTTATATAAATGCATGTTACGACTAATTACAATTTCAAGATTAGCCAATACAGGTACATACATATATGTTGTGTGCTCTGCGCAGGCGTAAGTGCTGCCTTCTACCAATAGAGCGTCCATACTGTTGCCCGCTCGCTAAAAATTCCGTTAGTTACTTGTATATCCAAAACAGATAAGATATACAAGTAACTAACTAAACAAAGAACACAAGAGCATAGCACTTGTATTTTGCTACATGCTTTCTCTACACTTATGTATCACAAAATAAAACCATTAAGTCATTTACACATCTTACAGTAATCATTTTATATATAGATTATAATTTATGATTGCGCTACTTATTACAGTAATAAATCGATTCCACTCGTAATAATTTCATTAATATTAACAATAAAAAATTTTAATCATAACTTAATATTAATATAACATAAAGGTATGTAACAGAGTAGTTGCCGGAAAATTATCTCTATTCCTTCTATTGTTTCTGACTTCTACGGCGTATATCTTTGCGCAGTGTATTTACCGGAGTTACCCTAGCCTCTATTATTATAACGATTATACATACTCTATACTATAATAAAAGAGCACATGCAACGTTATTTATCCAATCCAGATCGGTTTAAAAACCCCGTTCAAAACTTCAAATCCGCTATGATCGAAAACTATATAATATTTTTTACTGCAAATATGTGTATAACAAAAGAAAGATGTACTTTTTTAATCATCATTTTTTGTTCGACTTTATTGTGCTTAAAGCCTGGAAGATTAATTATTAATTAATTAAGTTATTGAAAGAATGTAATATACAAACAAGTTTTATCTAATTCGAAAACTCTAGTTTATATTAATGAAGAAGGAGAAATAGAACTTTCTCTGCATTGACTGTTTGCTTAATATGATAATCAGACAAACAGGATTAATCCATATTAATTATAAATGCTTTGCGAATTTTCAGGAATTGCCATGGGTCTTAGTTCATCTTCCATTGAAATTTATTTAGCAGAAATTTCTATACCTTCATGGAGAGAAATGATTACAACTACTCCGAATACATCGCTTTCTGGTGGAGTTCTAATCGTCTATTTTCTAGGATTTGTTGCAGAGGTAAGAATATTAAAATCATAAAAATAAAATCTAAGTAATACGTAATTCAACTCATATATGACGAAAGTGATATATGGTCGAAGAAGTTATCTTTTTTTACAAAAAGATAAAAAAATGACGCCAAGTCTCTTCTTCGATCCAATACTCCTCTATATCTGCGACACACCTTTTGCATTTTAACTCTAAGCTCCATTCAATTAATAACACCCTCGTCACCAGAGAGATATCAAGATTACTTATCCTATTCCATGCATCGCTCCACCAAGTTCCCCGTGCGCCTTCTTCTACATATTAGTCGGATACTTCAATCATCTTCCTATATCAATAAAATTAATAAAAACATCACCCTCTCTATCCACCTCTCGTTCTGCTGTTTCACGTTTCATCGTATCACTCACAACTCACGACTTCTAAACTCATTATTTCGTTACCAACGGATCTGTCTGAATTTATCTCTCTCTCTCTTTCTCTCTCTCTCTCTCTCTCTCTTGAAAAAAATTCTAAAATGTTGTCTGGAACATTAGAAAAAAAACAATAAATAAACAAACATTTTAGAATTTTTTAATGGTTATATTTCATTAAATAAATTTATATTATTTTAGAACAATTGGAGACTGATAGCAGCATTTTTTATTATACTATCGATATTGTCTCTGTTGTGCAATATTTTTTTCGTCCAAGAGAGTCCTGAGTGGTTGCTCTTAAAAAATAGAAAAGAGGCAGCTCATATCTCTTTACTTCGCATTCGTGGTTTACGTCAGGAAACGATAGAATTCCAAAAAGAATTTACCGAAATGAGGAATTGTAACGAAGTGGCAAATAATTCTGAAATGCCAAGAAACTGTCAACCAGATGTTATCTTAAGTACAGAGAACGAAAAGGAGTCATCTCCGAGCTGGAATGTGAGAAATAAACTCAGGCGTATCCAAAAAACAACAGTTTTACCAGAAGTATGGAAGCCGTTTGTGATATTAAATCTGTACTTTCTTTTGCAACAATTTAGTGGATTATATGTGATTATTACTTATGCTGTCGATATGATTCAGAGAATTGATATCATGATTGATCCCTTCTTCATCACAGTCATAGTAGGAGTAGTTCAATTAGTAGGCAACGTTATAACTACATTTTGTAGCATGAGGTAACTATTTCTTTTGCTATATATTTTTCGTATGCAGTTTGCACTTATCATATAATATAAGTATTATATTTATGTGATGCAAAAATATATAAAAGGCAATATTAACTGCAATAAGAAATAATGACAATAAATTGCATTGTTAAGGATAAGAACGTGTGCGGATTTGTTGCGTGCGCGCAGGTGTGTGTGTTATCCAATTTTAGTTGTTTTAAAATTAATGACTTTATTGTTAATTAGAGATATTTTTTATTAAAACTTTTGTGATTAATTCATAGATTACGCTCTATTATAATAATTATTAAACATTTATTCAGGGTTGGGAACGTTACTTCATAAACGTGTCACACTACTGTTACTATTACTTTTTGTAAAATGTAAGTAAATTGTAATTGTGTGTAAAAGTAATGGTAACGATAATGCGTTATGTTTATAAAATAACGTTTTCAACCATAAATAAATGTTTAAGTATCATTGCATTCTAATAACGTTATCTACGGATTAATTAATAAACAATATCTTTGACTAACAATATAATTCGTTTATAAATATATAATGCCAATGTGAACCAACACTAGTTGTTCCTGTGAATCATAAGTAACTTTATTAAAAATTATACACTAATAGATATAAATAAACCTAATAGATATAAATAATAGATATAAATTCTGACCTTTCGTTTAGGTTTTCATCCGTATAAGTTTGATCGAAATAATAAAATTTACAAAGATGTTCAAGGGAACATGATGTACATTTTGGCTAAGATGACTTCGAATTTTTTTAAATGATACTTAACTCTGAGATGAGAGAACCACACCGATTGATATATTAAATTGGCTGATTTAATATTGACAAGATCTTAAATCGGTGTTGATGGCTCGGTCATTCGACATGAATCGTTCACATGTCGAACGACCGAGTCATCAACAAAAATCTCAATTCCAATTAAGGAAGAATGATACAGCGCCGATATTTTAAATATCAATATCTTTGGACTTTTTTCCCGATATTTTATATCAATATTTTTTCCTTTCGATATTGGCGTATATCAACATTTAAACAAGAATATTGAAGTCTCGATACGGTCCATTGTTCAGAGCATACAAATTATATTTTGCCAGACAGCACAGTAATGTTTAAAAAATATATTTAAAACGTACATGTTGGACGTTTGGACATATTAAAAACATTCAGATTAGATCCATGGATATTTTAAAAACATTTTAAAAACATTCAGTGTCACTATTTTGGACTTCTCAAAAACATCCATTTTAGGACGCAATGGACTAAATTAATATATTAAACAAATCTTAGACTACAAAATCTAGACAAAATGATTCTTAAAGATTTTGTTGTTGTTGAAAACTCACATAGTACAGATGCCCTACGGACGTCCATGGGAATATAATGTATAATCTATAATATTAGATCAAAACCATGTAAGTAGATAAAATAAAAGAAGTGTGTAAGTGTATATATAACATATATCTCGTTATTTATGGGGAAAAATTCGATTTAAACCCCACTAAAAAAGAATAAAATCGAAATATCTGATCCGTATCAATATCAGCAATGTCGCAAATTAATCAGCTAATATTTTATTGTATCAATATTTCTGCACACGATATATTGCGATAAGATATATCAAGATTTTTTCTGTATCTACCCATCCCTAATTCCAATTAGTATACCTTCTCCTTAAATAAAATCCGAGATACGCCCATGAATGGTAGTAATGCGTTTATTTCCCAACTCTGCACTTATTACAATAGATGTAAATATAATTCGTACTAGAAATGTTTCACAAAAATTTTCTAATAAATATTTTTGTATGTTCTAGAATTGGTCGTCGAACTATTTCAATCGTGTCCGGTGTCGGTATATCAATTTCTTTAGGCGTTTTAACAACGTACCTGCAATTTTTTGAGAACATCGGTGTTACGGTTGTACCCCTCGTTTGCTTCCTTTTCTATGTGGTAAGAAAATAAGAATTTCAGAAAATTTTTTTATAATTTCTTGTTTATCATTTTAAGATGGTGTTATAATTATGATAATAATTTAATGTGAGTATAATTACATATAGAAATTCAACTCTGAAATTTATTAATTTCTTGATATTAGTTTTTTCAAAAAGAATCTTGAAAAGATCTATCAATATATCTATTATAGCTAGAATTCACGATTAATTGATAAATCGCAGGGATTCGGATCTTTCGGATTTCTTATGATGCCTTGGTCCATGATTGGGGAATTATATCCTACTAAATACATAAATATTCTGGGATCACTTACCACTACTATCGCTGTATCATGCAGCTGTATCATCATACAATTATATCCAATGATGGTAACGCAAAACAGAAATGCCACCTTTTGCTTTTATTGTATAATATCCATTATTGGCACGTTTTTTATAATAATTGCATTACCGGAAACACGAGGAAAGACGAGAACTCAGATAGAAGAAACTTTTAAAAGAAAATTGCAGATAGTAGAAACGACAGAAACTTTTAAGAAAATAGAAGATGTATACTAAACTATGTGCGCAAATCACTGCACCCGTATAGTTCTCGTGTCCACGTAATGAAGCCGTGGCAACATTCAACCTCATGTCTGTATATATATATATACATATGTTCGGTGCGATGGCGTTATAATACTTATAAAAGTCTTGCTATAATCTTTTTATTATATATTAAGCATAAATCTTTGTTATAATAAAAATTATTTATTATTATTAATGTTTTATTTTTTCTATACATGGTTTCCTATACAAGAAAGGTTTTGCTGAAGTATTTAAAAATTTGACCTCAAATAAAAAACAATTTTGTTACATTATAATAAGTAATTATGTAAGATGCTGAAACATAATAATTCTACAAAAGATGAAGATATTCTTTGAATTATTTTAAATAATTATTATGATTCCGACGAAATTATTTTCAAATCTACATTTGGCTAAAATTTTAGACATTTTAGCAAAACAATTTTTTCCCTGTAATTATGTATACTTAATAAAACGAAACAAAAAGTAAAACATAGTGCATAAAAAAATAAAATTATATATATATATGTATAATCTTTAATTTTTACCATACAAAAAGGCTTCCACTACTGGACTCATCAGGTCTAAGGTAGGCTTCCACTACAATGCCTTTATACTGATGAGTCCAGTAGTGGAAGCCGGGACGAAACGCCAAATTGTGATATTCTTCGCAATCTTATTTTTCACAGATTTGATTTATCATTACTTTAACATTACATCGTTAAATTTTAAAAAATATCTTTCAACATATTATTAAGATCCAATAAGATGCTATAAGTATCAAAAATTGTTAGATTGCTTGTCAATTTAACTAAAGTGATATTACTGCAATAAATAAAGTCTATGGATGTATTTAATTTTCATAAACATTTGTTAGTCCATTTTATGAATCGTTGTATATCAATGACTTACGTTAGGCTGAGTATATCCGTGTTCGTTTCTTCAGAGTGCGCTTCTGATATTCACACATGTGTAGACAACAGTTTTCCATCAATGGCTAAAATTGAATGCGAGGATACCGTAGCTGAATCTTGGAAGGGGTTAAACAATACATGATATTATCGCGACTGTACGATCGTAAATATAGGTGCAATTCTCGCGCGTATACTACTGTAAGTATTATTTGTGCTTTCCTTTGATGTCCGATAGATACTTACTAAAAAAGTAACATGACGGTATTACATGACTACATCAATTAATTAATGTTAATAAATCAAACTTAACTGGTTGTTCAAAATCATTACGCAATCTTCGAAATCATGTGATTTAAAAATTATTATTACAATTATCATGCATCATGTAACTGTATATGGGAATAGAACTTTAAAAAACATAATTGTATAATTAAAAGAAATGCAACGTATTGGCGTATGGTTTTTCAAATTATGTAGCTGAATTAAACAATTTTTGTGTAATCTTGTAACGTGACTTTTTTAAAATGGTTGTCAAAGTCTTTACTCTTTCATGAAAGATATAACGTGAAACGAAGCGATTGAGCGAGAAGACGAAGCAAACAATAAATTTATTTAATTTTATTAAATATTTGAATATTGGAATAGAAAAGTATATAATCCTAGAAATGGAATAAGACGATTGTTAATAAAGTATAAGTATGTATGTACTGATCTTAGATTTTATATTTATTAATTAATAGTTTGGACTATATTTGGGAAATATTGCATTGAATTTCGAATTTATTTTGTAATGTATTACGACAATAAACTTTGAAGATAATGTCAAATAATGTTTGTATTTCAGGTAATTTGATAACTTTGTATACCTATTATCAGATATTCATTTGTAACGAAAAAAATAATACGATTTCCTTGTTTCACATTATATTTGACGTGTAATAGATAACTGGATAAAATTTGTAATTTTCATTGCAAATTTTTAATATTTCATATTAATTCTTTAATAAAAATAATAATTTAATCGTTACCTTTACAGCTTGTCGCATTAATCTTTCGACGTAACGTAATGTTTTGATTTAGTAACATTTAACACATTAATATTACACATATCATTACGATTGCAACTCGTTACATAATTACACATATTATATTAATTTGGATCAAATGCTTCTCTCAAATAATTTCCAAAACGATGTAAGCGAAATGTTTTAACATTGACTGCCTTCAGTTGAATAATTCGAATTGCAACCGTTGTAACAGGTCATATGTGACTAGCACATGTTCTCTTTTTTCTTTGGATCAGCATTTAAACAAATGATGTTAAAGGATACATCAGTTGCAAAGCTGTTTTTTCTGTAGAACGTAAAAGCTGCAATATGTGCATATTAAAAAATCTTGATAACAATAGTGCGATATTGATCATTCTTTTTCGACACAGTATGCATGTAAGTTATAAACTGTGTTCAGCAGACTCATTCGTCGAGAGAGCGCTGAATACTATTGTTGTGTATATATCTGTATTTAATTCTAAAAATCTGATTGTGTCATGTAAAAGTACACTAATATTGTCAACCTCGCACGTAACTATTGATGAAAACAGCCATTGCTAATCGACTGACAAACAGACGGTATAGCCATATGTCCATAGCGCATAACTGATAATCACCGAAACTATTTCGTTGAGTTAAATACGTACTAAACGGCGGATATTTTATCGGTTACCACTCTTATATTGTCTAGTACTTTTTTCTATGTACTAATAATTTTATCAAGCAACAGAAATTACTATCGTACCCACAAATTCAAATAAAAATACGTCTTGACCTTGCAGTATGAATACTTAATTGGGAAGGTGTGTGCGTGTACGTTGGCGTGCGTGTACGTTGGCGTGCGTGTGCGTGTTTGTTTATTGGCGATTCTTACGAAAATTGGCATTACATTCTGCTGTAAGAACTCTCACGTACTGCTCTGAATACTGCTTATATTACGGTAATATGTGTTTTAATGAAATACATCTACCTGTATTTTCTGTTATTTGCAAAAGTAAACCGTGTAGCTTATCTAGTATAATTTCAATTTCCCTCTATTTTTTAATTTAAATTAATACCACGATTACACCGTTTTCTCTAAGGAGAAACAGATAATACAGGTTGTTTTGCTTTTCATAAAAAACGTACATCCGTAGTTTATACGATTTTTGAAACTAAAATGCAAAATGTCCTGCTGGTTCTCGAAAGAATCACTTATAATTATACATAAATATATCTGTATGTATGAATACTTACAATAGGTCGTTCTCAAGCCATTGACGTGTTTATTTGTCAGTAAACAGTTTCAAATTCAAACGTATCATTTGCTCTTGATCTATACATCTAAATTTTAATTTATGTATAAGAGTTATTAAAAAATAAAAAAATAAAAGTTATTAATTAAAAGTAACATCTATCCAACGTCAGACAGGTGACTTTATAATTTTAAGTATTTATGTCAGACATTAAGTATTTATAACTAATTCTATTTGACACAGCTTTCTGTTACTTCCTTATTACTTTCAGTGATAGCTGTCAATTTATTATAATTTTATTATGCTTAAAATTGTTACTACTTTGTAGGGATTTCTTTATAATTTAGGAAAAAAAGTAAGAAAGTAAAATTGTATAAATATATTTACAACGTGTAAACTACGAAAGTAATATAAAAATTGTTACAGTAAAGCGAATTGGATAATACCGCTGATGAATCTGAAAATTGATTCTAAAGAGATGAATCAAAATGAAGAAATAAATAACGACACAAAAGAATATATACACCAACAGAGCGGTAATACTTATACAGTTCCTAATAATCATACTTAGTTCAATTAATTAATATCATTGTACATTCAAATTTGCTAAACATAATTAACGCATTAAGTAATCCACCATGCAAAGATAAAAAAATTTTTATGTAGAATAATTTTGTCAATGATCATCGCATCGAGATTTTAGAAGAACACATTAAACCTGTTATTTCCAGACCTTTACTACAAATAACGATATTAATGACACTTTGTAAAATTACACAAATAAAAACAATTAAATTCCAAGTTGCGATTTGAAGATATGCACTAACGAAGTTTAAAAGCATCCAAAAGGGTAATTCTTGGTATCTACACCTCGTTTCTTTCGTGATCTTTACTGCTTCCTTTCTCTGAACCATTGGACGTTGATGTAAAATGTGTGTGAACTTTATTGCTTCAACTAAAATCGATGGAAGAAAACAGAAAATGTCGACGAAAAAGAAAATTACATAATAATATAAAAAATGTTTTAATCTTTCCGAAGCTGTGAAACCCATTTGTGCATAATTTTCATTTCGCGGCGTACAACTTCACAAAATTCGTATAAAACTTTAAGATTTGATGAATCATTGTATATGACACTATAACTTTATAAAATATCAGCAAGACATTTTTTGAAATGACGGTGTGAAAGGATAGAGATCACAGGATTTAAAATGGTTTTTTGAACATTTCGATATGATCTTTACTAAGTTATACTTTTTACAAGATAGCCTGTTCTTGCAAATAATGCTCTAATTATGTTGAGTATAGTATCTTTAAAATTATGAGAATTATGTTACCTTTTTCATTTTTTCTTTATAACAAAATCTTTATTTAATTTTAAGATGATCGCTCGAACTCCCCGACAACTTCAAATCAGGAGAATAGACGCATACGTGAAATTAGACTACACATATGTAAAACGTGTGGTAAAAGCTTTAAGCTTAAAAAGATTTTGAATAGACACGAGAGAATTCATAAAAAACCACATCAATGCAAGCATTGTAAATATAAATGTAGGTGAGTAGTTAGGTGAACAACAGGAGCTAGGAAAATACATCGGTAATTAAATATCAATGATTAAATTGACTGGTAAAAAATAGTAAATAATACAATGGTCTAATTGCAGCGAAAAGGCACAGCTAAACAGTCACTTCATATCAAAACATAAGAACGATAAATGTTTCAAATCTAAGAAGGATCTATATAATCTAGGTAAATCACACAAATGCGGAATATGTAAAAAAGAGTTTAAGAATAAATAAAATATGCGTGA